AACAAAATTGTTTGTACAAAAATGTGCATAATTAGTGAAAACAGCACACAAAAATACACTTTATTCGGGAAACTGCTTTGAAAGAATATATTAGGCAAAATTTCATAAAGAAGCATGTATTTTAAGAGAAATGCATACGCTTCGGTAAGTTGTTTATGCATCATGGAATCCAGTTGCATAGGTTCTGGCTTGGTCAAATAATAATAATAATAATAATAATAATAATAATAATAAATATTTGTACCCCACCCTCCCAGGCCGGAGCCGGGCTCAGAGTGGCTAACATCATATATATATAATACAATATGCATAAAAGCAACCAATCGATTAAAATGCATCACAAAATTAATTCAAAAAGCTCCTGTTGCTTCTTTTGGGATTGATGACTCTTCGATTATGTTGCTCATTCTGAAAGACTGAGAAAATAACCTCCCTAAGATGAGTTTTCAGAGACAAGGACGACAGGGGGATGAAATGTTACAATGCTTTGTGATGGTGTTTGAGCACATAATTAGGCAATTAGATGTATTAGAAGATGACAAACCGCCAGAACTTAGGGAATTACATCTTTGAATGCTAAAACAGAAAACAGGGAAATTGGAGCAGCCAATAATATTTGTAAGGATTTTGAACATTTGCTGAATCAAGAAAGATGCAAGTTGCAGAAGGGAACACTAAGCAGGTGGCTGACATAGCTCTGGCTTTTTTAAATAGACAAGTGAGTAGAAGATTATGATCACAACTCTAGCAGCAGTTGCTTGGGAATGGGTGAATGTAATAATGTAAAGGGCTGTATAATCCTTTGTTTTCACAATCAGATTGAGAGATCTATCAAGTTGGAGCCAACAGCTAGAAGGCCATGTCAAGGAGCCAGAGGACAAACTAAGAACCAATAAAGGCTGCCATTGGTTGGACAAAATTCCAAGACGCGCGAGACGAGGGATGATCCTGAAATGAGAAGAGGAGGAGGAGATGACTAATCTCAGCCTTATCTGGCCATATTTAAAGATCCTATGAGAATACTGATACTGATTACCCATCACTAGCCATAAGCTAAATGGCTACTTAGCCATTTTAATATTACATTTCATTTTAGATATTTGTGTCCTAACCTTTAAAAGGAATAGGTAGCAGGAGATGAGAATAACCACTGCCAGTCAAAGCAGATGAAACTGGAAAAGTTGTGTAAAGAAGAACAGAGGTCAGCTGGGTCTCTGAAAAATAGATCTCTTCCCCTCTGCCATCCTGTTCTCTTTTTTTGCATACCCCTCTCAGAGGCCTGGACACTCTCTGGATGCGAAGAGTTGGTCTGAATACAGCATTTGAGGGTGATTTAATATTTCTGGTTTTATTCTGACTACCTCAGTGCTCAGTGTAGCCTAGTGTCTTTTTAGACTTTTAATGGCTGCTGCACGCTGAGCAGATCTTTATATCGCTGCTTTCCACAATGACACCTGGCTTTTTCCTGAACAGTTACAGTCAATTTAGAACCCAGTAATGTGCATGAGTAGCCCAAATTGTCCCTTGCAATGTGCATTACCTTGCACTTATCAGCAGTGAATTTCTTCACTATTATGTTGCCCTTTTGTTCTTTGGGAGGACTAACTGAAGTTCCTAACAATCATCACCACTTGACTGTCCTAAATAATTATGTGTTGTCCACACATTTCCCACCTCCCTACTCAGCCCTCCTTCCAGATCATTAATGAATATATTACAGGATGGAGATCACCTTGGTCACAACCTATTAATAGCATTTCCTGGTGGAATTTGACTATTTATTCTCGCATACATCCTTTCTTCCAACTACCACCAGTTGAATATTATACAGACAAGAACATGGAACATGAATATTATACAGACAAGAACATGGACAACAAAGGGGGTGGGGAGGAAGTAAGCAAAAATAGTCATACCTTGGGATAAATGTGCTTCAAGTTAAGTATTTTCAGGTTGCGCTCCGCGGCGACCCAGAAGTAATGGAGCGCGTTACTTCCAGGTTTCGCCGTGCACACATGTGCAGACAGTCAAAATGATGTCACGCACATGCACGGAAGCGGCGAAACGCAACCCACACACGTGCAGATGCGGGTTGCGTTCACTTCAGGATGCGAATGGGGCTCCGGAACGGATCCCGTTTGCATCCCAAGGTACCACTGTATAGAGATCTTGTAAATGAAGGAAATTTTAATATTTCTTTTTAAAAAAAACTATTTTTATTTTAACGAACTTTTTCCTGCCACTTTTGTATGTATTTGGAGATCTAAAGCTTTACCAGGGGTGCTGGGAATTAAGAATACATCTTTCCATAATGATTAGTCGATGATTTCTGATTTAAAATTTGTATGAGTTTTTATTATATATAGGTATTATTGTAAACTGCTTTGATATTTGTTATGGTATATAAATATTATGATAGATAAGTACCGTATTTTTTGCCCTATAGGACGCACTTTTCCCCCTCCAAAAATGAAGGGGAAATGTGTGTGCGTCCAATGGAGCGGATGCAGGCTTTCGCTGAAGCCTGGAGAGCGAGAGGGGTTGGTGAGCACTGACCCCTCTCGCTCTCCAGGCTTCACGCAGCTCTGCACAGCCCCAGGGAGCCTGGCACGAAGTCCCGCCGGTCTCCCGGGGGCTGCGCAGAGCTGCCTGCAGTCTCGGGCTTCACGCAGCTCTGCACAAGCCTGGGGAGACCAGCGCGTCTTCCCGCTGGGCTCCCTAGGCTTGCGGATAGCAGGCTGTTCTTGGGGCTGGGGTCGGGGGAAGCTCGGGCTTCCCCCGCGCCAGCCCCGCGCCTGGGGGGGAAATAATTTTCTTTTTCTTTATTTCCCCAAAAAACGGACTTCCGGGGTGGCGCCATCGGCAATGGCGGACTCCCTCTGAATTGGAGGGACTAGCTCCGCGCGAAACGGGTCTTCTCCGCTACGGCGAAGTGGGGACCCTTTTAAAAATCACAGGCGGATGAAGCCTGTGACCATGGGACTCGGCAGGCACCCTTAGCGCCCCCCCAACCCGCAAAGGAACCCACTACGGGCTCCGAAGCGAAGAGGGGGAAGTGGCACGGTGCTGTGAGTCAACTGCTATTTCCGTGGAGCGAAGACACACAGCTGTTGCCGGAGAGCGCTGCCTTTTTCCTGGGACAAATTGGCTTCTAAAATAAGCACCCGTGAGTACTTAAACTTTGAACAATTGGACTTGCGAGGAGAAAGGAATTGGACTTAAAATTTTTTCTTCAATTTGGTACTGAAACGGGAAGGTCTAAACAGGAAGTCAACCTTCCGTTTCTTTGTAGACAGAATAAAGCAAAGACAACGTAAACTAGAGCTCAGAAAATCGCCTCTAAAGGATTGGCTTTCATCATTTAAAATTGTTGAACCCCCCTTCGGCAGCAGGAGAAGAAGGGGGAGCTTTTCTGGACTGTTTAAACCTGCAGAAGTGAGTTTAAAGTAAGTAACTTTGAAGCTCATTTGTCAGAAACAAACGCTTTTGACAGATAGCTAAAAGAAGAGGAACATAGTGATTCCATTGTTTCCTTTCGCACCTTAAAGGAACAAATATTGACAAAATATCTGAAAAAAGGAAACTCTGTTGCTAGACTTGTCTTTAAAAGAAAGATTAAACAGAAGTTTTCCCCCTAGAGGGAGACTGTGAAACTGTAACCAACTCCTGGGAGCTGGCACCTGTTACAGATTACAATCGTGGGAATAGACATCTGACCTTCAGGACAATGTATTCAGAAGCTCTGTTGTGTGCTTTCTACAAAACAAATGCCCTACTGGAACAGTTACATGAGAAGACGAATTTGATGGCTGATTCAATTAGAAATTTTGAACAGGCAGTGGGAAATTTTGAACAGGCAGTGGGAAATTTTGAACAGGCAGTGGGAAAATATGTGGAGCCCACCCAGGAATTAAATCAGGAGTGTGTCTTGACAGAACAGGCCCTACAGGAATATGAGCTTTGGATTTGACAAATGAACTTGGAAAAAGCCAGATTTGGAAAGAAAAAGTTTGGTTTGGTTTGGAAATGGGGGGTTGGATAGACCCTCCTATGAAATTGGACTTTTCAAGTCTGGCAATGGGCCGTGAGATGTTTGGGATTGTGGGGGCTCTCAATTTTGGAGGGATTCTGAAACATGTTTTTAAATACCACATGGAATTTAGTGTCGATTATGGAAAAGGGGCTGATCTGTCGAGAAGGGTCAAAAATATTGCCAAGTTGGAGTTCCCACGAGTGAAAGGAGCAGGAGACAAAGGAAAATACAGCTATAAATATGAAGAAGAGCCGCGGAAGGGACATGGAATGGACTTAAGGGCCTCGGATATAAGATTACCAGGTTAATGCGCCAGATTGATGGGATAATAAGGACTGACAAAACCCGAGACCAGGAGGAAGGGACGCTGGATGAAGATTGGATTTGTTTTTATTTATTTTTTTTACTACTAGGACTGTTTTATAAAATTGTTGAATGTTAGAAAAATGTTGGAATGAAATTACTTGGCTTTAGTAAAAATGTTTAAAGAATTACGCAAGAATATTATGGTTATGAGAAGTTGGTAAAAATAAGATTTAAGTTTTAAGTCTCAAGGGTTTTTTTTTATAGTAAGATAAGATTAAAATAGTTTAAGGTAATGTAATGACAGAATATTATGAAATATGGAAAGGATTTGCTGTGACAGTTAACAAACAGGATACAAGGAAGGGGAGGAGGAGGAGGTCAAGGAAAGAGGGTAATGACAGTTGAGGAGTTGAGAATAATGGATTTGTTTTTAAATGTTTTTAAATGTTTGTGGTGTATTTTTGGTTTTTTCTTTCCTATTTTGAATTTGTATATGTATGGTTGGAAGTGGTTTGTTTTTCTCTTTTTCTCTTTTGTTTTTCTTTTGTAACTTTAAAAAAAAAATCTTTTTTCAATAAATATCATTTTTAAAAAAATTATTTCCCAAAAAAACTAGGTGCATCCTATAGGGCGGTGCGCCCTATAGGGCGAAAAATACAGTAGATTATAGATAGATAGATAGATAGATAGATAGATAGATAGATAGATAGATAGATAGATAGATACCCCATGCCAATATGGCAGGAACAAGGATCTATCTATCATCTATCTCTATCTATCTATCTATCTATCTATCTATCTATCTATCATCTATCTATCTATCTATCATCTAACTATCACCAACACCCTGGGGGGAAAATAATACTAACAATATATGTATTAACAGAGAATGAATCCAGAAATTCACAGGAAGGTTGTCTCAGGAAGTACAGTGGTGCCCCGCAAGACGAATGCCTCGCAAGACGGAAAACCCGCGAGACGAAAGGGTTTTCCATTTTTGAGTTGCTTCGCAGGACGAATTTCCCTATGGGCTTGCTTCGCAAGACGAAAATGTCTTGCGAGTCTTGAGATTTTTTTCCGCTCCCCCCCCTTTTTCTAAGCCGCTAAGCTGCTAATAGCCTTTTAGCAGCTAAGCCGCTAAGCCGCTAAGCCTTTAATAGCCGCTAAACCGCTAATAGCGCTAATCCGCTAAGCAGCTAATAGGGTTGCTTCGCAAGACGAAAAAACCACTAGACGAAGACACTCGCGGAACAGATTAATTTCGTCTTGCGAGGCACCACTGTATTGCTGTATAATTCAATGTGCTTGTCTTCATCTTTAAGGATGCAGGTGGTGCTGTGGGTTAAACCACAGAGCCTAGGACTTGCCGATCAGAAGGTCGGCGGTTTGAATCCCCATGATGGGGTGAGCTCCCATTGCTCAGTCCCTGCTCCTGCCAACATAGCAGTTCGAAAGCACATCAAAGTGCAAGTAGATAAATAGGTTCCACTCCAGTGGGAAGGTAAAAGGCGTTTCCGTGCGCTGCTCTGGTTCGCCAGAAGCAGCTTAGTCATGCTGGCCACAATACCCGGAGGCTGTACGCCGGCTCCTTCGGCCAATAAAGCGAGATGAGCAACCCCAGAGTCGGCCACGACTGGACCAAATGGTCAGAGGTCCCTTTACCTTTAACTTGGGATCCAGAGGTCCCTTTACCTTTAACTTGGGATCCAGGAGTTGTGTCCAATTCTAGTCCTACTCAGATCAAACCCAATGGACATAACCAACTAAAGTAGGATAAACATTAGCTAAAACCCCAGGTATTGAAAGGACCCTGTGCTCTCCCCCAGGATGATCACTAAGCACCTAAACTAATGGTTTAGGCCCCATTTAGGCTAATTTGTTTTTTTTTAAAAAGCCATCCAGGTTCTCCATTATTAGCTCCCCCGTACAATATTATGTTGCTGCTTTTGAGGTTTTTGCCTGTCTTCTGCTGGGATAAAAAAGTTCTCTTGATTTTTATAAGCATTTTTAATACTTATATATTTTGATTGTTATTCATTTGCTAAACTATTATACCTCCTTGAACATTTTTCATGGCAGGTGCATGAACCTCAGAAGTGGCCCTAAGAGTCTAAGAAATATGACCTCCATTTCCCTTGGATTTTAAGAGGTCTATAATATGTCTTGCGTGCTATAATGTTCAAGATAAACCTGCCTTTGCTTGTGCTGCATGACCTTCGCTTTCATGCACAGCCAACGCAACACAGATCATCATAGAATGAAAAGCAAAGAGGGGCAGGGAAACTGAGGGAAGAGGATGGAGCTGTGGTGTTTGTTTAAATGATTTCATTTCCAACCTTGAGGTAGATGGAAGTGTGGCTGTGCTGTTACATAACAAACAAATCACATTTAAAGGCAATTGCTGAAAGAGAGAGGAGCAGTAGTACCCCACACTATTGAGCTGGGAATAGCTGAGATAATACAGCCTTACTCCAGGGCTGCTCCAGTCTGAAAGGGAGAGCACAGCAGCGAGGCTTGATGTGGATATGAATTTGTTATGACAGACTAATTTTACAAATCCATAGCTGCCTTCTGGCGGAATTATCAAGATCTATATTTAAAAGAGAAACCAGAAAGGGGGGGGGGGGAGATGCATCATGTTGGTGATGAGAGATGCTCTTCCAGGTCGGTTTATGTTTTTTTTAAGGTGCTACACAGATAGCTGTACTAGTCCACTTTCTATTTCCTTCAATGAGAAATTGCCAAAGGTTTAGGAAGGACTGGCATTTCACCACAATTAAATTTAGCTGATTGTTTTGTAACTCCAGCGCAACATCCCTGCAGCCCCTTCAAACGTGGCAACATCCCACTTGCACAACAAGACTATCTTGCCATAAGCAGCGTCTTCCTAGTACTATTGTAAGTCATAGGACTGGCTCATTATTAGATATATCGTCAGCCCCTGCACTAATAGCAGCAGCACTTGTAACCAGCTCTTTCACACCAAAGATCATGAACAACAAACTGTTGCACCAATTGCCATAAGAGATCCCCCCCCCCAGTTTTCTGTATCTTTCGAAATGAATTATCCAGACAAATAGCTTCTATTCCCTTCCACATTAATGCAAATTAATATAATTTGTCAGAAACAACCAGTGTTCCATTTCCAGCGACAAGTCAGAACTACTACCATAATGCAAAAAGAGACCTGTTAATGTTCATCAACAACATAGACTTGCAACAGCGTCATCTTACTGTCGTGAGGACTGTTCGAGTTATTTTGCACCTGTGACTGCCTTAAACAGCTAGAGGGTCCCTCAGTCATCCTTTTTATTGTGAATTCATGATGATTTGCACTCATTATGTTTTTGGAACTGTCACACATGACTCTGCTTTCAATATTGTCACACGGCTTCATTTGCTCACAACTTCCTGATGATATCCTGTAACTTTTTATACCACAAATGTTCCGGTTTATTTTTGTCCCACTTTGGTTGCTCTATAGCCCATTCAGAGAGCAATAATGTGGTAGCACTGGGGAAGCATCGCAGAACAAACTAAAGCAAATAAATCCACGGCCAGTGCACTATTATTGTATCAAGAACATGTTGCAGAATACACCTGCAATAAAACACCAGTCTGGTGGGGGCCACAAAGAAACACTGTAAGTGAAAAAGACCTAAATTTCTGTAGGTGGGGGAAGTAAAGAAGGGTAGACACACTGAAATGAAAAAATGGATAGATCTATCAGTTCAGACCTCTGGCAAGAGAGTTCTACCTTCCCCTGGCAGTCCACTGATGGGGACCTAGAGGAGGAAAGAGAAAGATAGAGAAGGGAGTGGCTCCACCCACCATCAATTCCATCCCTACCACTGCTGGCATGTGGTCCACAACAAATCACCCTGGAGTAGGGAAGAAAGGACCTGTCAATTTCAGTTCTCTGTTTCTCATTTTTCCATTCCTAAATTCAGTTCTCCACATTTTGCAGCAATTCGTAAATGCTAAAAAAAATAATCCTCATGAAAATTCAACAGCATTTTAGCGTGAATAAACACATTTTATATAAACACATTTTATATTCAGTTTTGACTAATATACACATTTTTGCAACCTATTTTGCAACCTATTTTCCCCAGTATAATGCATTTTGGTATGTTATTTTCATGAATGTCTTCATTTTTATGCACACTCTCCCCTAATATATACATTTTTGCAAACACTGTTTAGTTGGAGAAGTTGCAAAATTCAGATAAGCGTGAATTTTGAAGGATAGCAACAGTTCAGTTTTGCATATTCTTTCAAAAAGCATGAAGTAGATACATTCAGCTTTAAATGTGCAACGGGTCAAATTTCTCTGCCATCACTTCTCCTGAGAACTGTGACCCACAATAGGGGGGGGATGTTCTCCACCCCTAGAGCAGGAGCAAGTTTTATTGGCTAGACTAAACAATAGCTGACTAGTTAAATTCACATGCTGCCTTATAAGTGACAGCAGTGGCCATTAACATGGCTAGTTTATTACTTGGCTATTACATTGGATACCTGTCTTTGAGACAAGACACCCTTGCAATGGTATACACGGGGGAAACAAAGTGTGGTAGCCTCCTCAATAATTTAGGAAGACCTGTTATGCTGTCATGATCCCATCGGAGCTGAAGCTGGAAGGCTGAAATAAGGAATGATGCCTGTTTAAAGAGGAGTGGTGTGGCATGTGACAACCCTGTGCTGACACATAAGGGTTCTTTCTTCTCCCTGATGGTTTGAGGCATGGACAGGCAAACTAAGGACCGGGGGCCGGATCCGGCCCAATCGCCTTCTCAATCCGGCCTGTGGACGGTCCAGGAATCAGCGTGTTTTTACATGAGTAGAATGTGTTCTTTTATTTAAAATGCATGTCTGGGTTATTTGTGGGACCTGCCTGATGTTTTTACATGAGTAGAAAGTGTGCTTTTATTTAAAATGCATCACTGGGTTATTTGTGGGGCATAGGAATTTGTTCATTTCCCCCCCTTCAAAATATAGTCCGGCCTCCCACAAGGTCTGAGGGACAGTGGACCGGCCCCCTGCTGAAAAGTTTGCTGACCCCTGGTTTGAGGTATATATCTAAAGCTATGCAGTCCCTGCAGGGGATGGATCATTGAAGGTCACACTGGACAAAAGTCTGACATCCAAAGTTTAGAATTCAGGCAAACACAAGCAGCTCAATCCTTTGATTCTGTCAATAAATTGCAGCTCAAGAGGGAAGTATCAGTCTATGTCTAGTCCAGGCTTCCTCAACCTTGGCCCTCCAGATGTTTTGAGACTACAATTCCAATCATCCCTAGGGATCATGGGAGTTGTAGGCCAAAAACATCTGGAGGGCTGAGGTTGAGGAAGCCTGGTCTAGTCCATACCACTTTCACATGTATTCACTCAAAAGCCTATTCTGTTCCAAAATCTGAAATTTTTTAATATGTGTGGAAAAATCCCGTTTAAATACATATTTTAAAAGTACTTTCACTTAAAATTTTCATTTCTAAACATAATTTATAAACATATCCGGATACACTTTTAAAGCCAAAAACTGCTTTGCAACATTCCTAAATATGTTCTGGGGAGTTCCCCCTATCCTCTGGAGCAGATTTGGGGAGAGTGTACAGCGTACACAGGAGGGAAGGTGCCAGTAAAAACATAATAAGAGCCTGCTGGATTAGGCCAATGGCCCATCTAGTCAGTGGCAGACCTTGGGGTCTCACATTTCAGGGGTGCCCTGTGTGACACCAAATGTTCGGTAATCAGTGTGACTGAACCGTTTGCACTCCCCTAAATCTGCCTCTGATCTAGTCCAGCATTCTGTTCCCCCAGTGGTCATCCAGAGGCCTGTGGGAAATGCAGAAGCAGGATTCAAGCACAAGACCACCCTCCCCTCCAGTGGTTTCCAGGAGCTAGTATTCGGAAGCATTGCTGCCTCCACTTGTGGAGGCAGAACACAGCCATCAGATCTAGTAGCCTTTGATAGCCATCTCCTCCATGTATTTGTCTAAAGCTCTTTTAATACCATCTAAGTTGGTGGCCACAACTGCTTCCTGTGGGAGCGAGTTCTACAGTTTTACTGTTCTGCATGAAGAAGGAAGCATAAATCCTAATGGGATAAGATACTGCTAAATGTCTTCAGGTCAAGGGGGCGGCTGCTGCTGCTGTGGTCCAGCCCCCATGTGCATTCAGTGTATCTAGACTGAACACGTGAAAAAGTCTAATGATGTTGAGAAAACCAGTAGACGTCATGTCACCAGTAGACAAAGGCATGTTTGTTTTTCACACTCGCCACTTGCAGTGAATAGTGCAAAGAATCCAAAAGAAGAGAGAAAAATCTATAAGAGTAGCACAGCTGAAGGAGAAAAAAGAGTTCGTGTCTGAGAGACAGCCAGGGAAAATGTATTTTGCAAATTCCCTCTTATTAAGTTCAATTAAATATGCTCTTAGCTTGTTAGGCGTATCTGACAAGAATATGTTCTTAGAAAATGTTGGATCTAATTTTCTGTCCCACACACAAACAAACAAAAGTTATATATTTCAGCATGAAGCTGTGTTCAACCACACAACCCTTCCAGCAGTCTGAAGTGGTACGGCCCAGAAACAGAACTCCCAAACTTAAGAGTTCTAAGGTTCAGGATCAACGCAATGCCTCTTTACTGGAGGCACAACCAGTCACTTCCATTTCTCTCCATTTCTCCTGTTTTGCCATTGTGACTCATGGAACTAATTACCAGGGAATGTGTGTGTATTTACTGTAACTATGTGAACCAAAAGTCAAAGAGCTAGGAGGGTCTGCCCAGTATCTTGTAGAGGCATCATTTCTGCAAGGAATTATTTGAATGGCTATTCATTATAGCTGCAGGACCTACATATCTAAATGCAGTGTGTTTACCAGCACAGCAATAAACTATTTTCTCATCTAGATAATGCTGAAGTGGTTATATTTGGTCTACAGAAGGACAGACTCTTCCGTGGAAACCTGTACATAGCAGTGAACTGGAAAAACAGAACATAATATTAATGTGAGCAACCAGTGTATACTCAGTTACAGGAATAACCTACTTGAACTGTTCTAGGCTGAATCTGAAATGTGGCTCTCACCTCTGATCCGAGGTACAGTATTCTGAATCTGCCTCTCCCAATAAAGGTGAAACTAAAATCCCCAAAAAAGCATCATGAAGTCAGAGGCACTTCAGATTCAACTTTCTCTTTTAAAAAATTGAAGTTTCTATCCCTCATTAAAGTGTGGATGCCATAAATGGCCCCTGGCAGAACTTCATTCACAACCAGGGTGAAGATCTTCTCTTCAACCTATCAGGTACAATTCCCCATTCCATAATTTCTGCTTCCCTTTGGATCTGCTCTTCATGTGCCATTTGGGAGTGGGAATAGAATGAGGGTTCTCTTGATGTAGAATGGCATTTGTCGTCAGTCCAGAACTTTGATTCATCTCACATTTGGAACCTCTTCACACATGATCATTTTCACACACTAAGTGTATTTAAAAAAGAGAAAGTACATGTACAGACAAGTTGAAAAGTAGAAAGCCCCTCTTGGAGCAGCATGTTAAAAGCCAAGGTGTGCAGAAATGTGGGCACAATTCATGTGTACAAGACTGTTCCATGCACATTAATAGCAGTTGCAAGTCAATGCCAGAAGCAGCTGTCACAGGAAGCAGAGATAGTAATCATTTCATTTGTCCCTTGTATTTAAATGTGCATTGATATTATCTATGGTGTGTGTGTGCGCGCACACACACGCAGGCACGCTTACTGAGACTTCCATGTCCCAAGAGGTTCTACTTTCAGGTTTTCACTCAGCAGCAACAGATACATTGATAAATATTGTCTACAAGTCTCTTGGAGACACAAGAATCTTGTGGACACAAGAATCTTGCAGCAAGACAGAGCATCTCATGCAGCCTTTCACTCACTCTAATGGGCACATGTAGATAAGATAGAGAGAAGAAACAAGAGCCACACCCAGTGGGATCAAATCACACCAGCCTAGTATCAGAATTTGACTGTTCCAATTCAGGTCCCTTGAGAAACATTTAATGTAGCACAGTTTGAAGACAAGGTTGTCCTTATTTCCCTAATGTAATGGAGGGGGGAACCCACAGTATTGTTTATATACCAGTAAGCACATTTGAACAACTGAAGGTGACAGCTTCAATTCTTGCACTTCTAGACAGCCATCAAAACAAAATGGAAGGAAAAAACAATATTACCTATTTTGTACTGTGCCATTATTGCCCCTTCAATTTGGAATTTCCAATCACAGCTGCATTCTCAAGGGTTTCCTGTAATAACAGATTGGAAAAGCATACTACAAAGTATGACCAGCTAAATTGTTTGCTGGATGGAATTTGATTTCAAAAAGTAAGATAAAGCCACTAAAAGAATTGGCTTCTTCTGTTAGAAACTAGAGTTAAAATGGGCTGATGAGGAATACTGGCCCAGTTTCTGCCCCAAGATGTCACTCTGATAGTTGAATGAGCTTTACTCAAAAACAAGGAAGAACATTCCAGAATCTACTCACCCCATTAGAGAACTTTTAACCTACCACTTTCAACAGTCATGGATTCCACCAAGGAATTCTGGGAAGTAGCATTTGCTAAGACTGATGAAGGTTGTTAGGAGGCTGCTATTCCCCTCACAGAGCTACAATTCTCATGGTGGTATAAGAACAATCCCTCTTCCCAGGGAACTCTGGGAATTGTAGCTCCATGAGGAGAATAGGGATCTCCTAACAGCTCTCAGCACTGTTAACAAACTACAGTTCCCAGGATTTTTTGAGGCAAGTCATGGTTGTTTAAAAGGGTATGAGGGAGGGGATAAGGCAGGGTCTGTAGGCGGTGTGGCTGAGGAGAGCCCAGAGGTCTGCTTTTAGCCACCTCTACCTGAGGTTCCCTATCCCTAAAGTATGAGGATAAAACTTTTAACTCTTGCTTCTGGTTGATAGTTTTTGTTTAGTCTGGTTTTGATTGTACATTGAAGTATGTCAGTCATGCAACCCTGACCCAAGCCTTCCTGGATCATTATAAGAGCTTGCTGATCAACTAAGAGAAAATAATTACAGCTCAAAGGTTTTGTATTTGATTAACTCTTTTCTTAAAGCTTTCCAAGCTATGTTTAGCTTGTGTCCATTGTGCTAGACTGGAAAATTCTATATTAAAAATTCTATATAGAAAATCAAACATGAGAAATAATCAAGGGGAAGATCCCCTTTCACTGCTCAAATCCTTTCCTGTGCATCTCTTCCACTTTTTTTGCCATCACCTTTATGCTGCCAAAATACATTTTATAGCCTAATCACATTGCATTTAGCAAACAGAAGGTTACCACCTTTTAACTGGCCCGCTTCCTAGACCTTTTAGCAACAGCCTGACATGAAGAATTAAAAAGGTGAAACTTTCCCACCGCTTATCTCTCTGCCACAGGCAGCACCCCTCCCACAAACCACAAACTTTTAAAAGGCAAGTCACCATGAAGCAACCAGAAAACAAGTCAGCGGTGCTTCTGTTGAATAAAAATTAAAGGAGACTTACTCACTTTACACCAACTTGCCCTCTACCACACTTTTAAAACTGAAGGAAGACTGATGGAAGACCTGGGTTAATTCCCAAACCAGAAACAGATCCTCCCCTATACCCTACTTGCCTCTTCCATCTCACCAAAAAGGACATCCCCTTCAAAATTTCAAAAGTGAAAACTGGGATATACATGTAACATACTTATTATCATGCAGACATTTATTGGCCAAGGCCTCTTTCATCATCATTCCACACTATTGAAGACTTTCCTGTTATTTAATCATTTGTGTCCTGCTGTTGTGATTCTTGTGAGCTGCTTTGGGCTCAAGATTTGGTGTTGGAAAAGCAGAATACAAATATTAAATGAAATTTATAAAAATCAAAAACAACCCAGGACTCAAATACCTGAAAAAACGCGTTCCCTATGGACCCTCTTAGGTGCTAAGCTCAGCAGAGGGGACCCTCTTGGAGCTTCTACCACCCTCAGAAGCTCAGGTGTGGCCCAGGAGAACGCCTTCTCAGTGGCCACTGTGGAACACCCTCCCCACAGCGATGCATCTGACATCTTCATTATATAGTTCTACTTTTGTCAAATGCTAGATATGCACCCTTTTACCCTGGCCGATAACATCTGAGATACATGTTTTTGGAACCCACCCTATTCTTTCGGATTGTATTCTTTTTAATGGTTTTTAATATTGTATTTTAAATTATGGTAACCTTCGGGTTAAGGGCAGGCTAACAACAGCAACCACCACTAACATTACCCTACACTGGCTTCACAGTTAAAGGCAGCAGGCTGCCCAAGAAGATTCTCTTTCATCTTGA